TACACCCTCGGTGACAGAGGGCAATTTTGTCCTTCTAAAAAAAGAATTAGTTGATCGCAGCGGATGTCTTGCGAACTGAGAAGAAAGGAAAACCACATTTTACACTGTAAAAGTTCTTCTTAGAATATATTTTAATAAAAACAAAAATATACTTCAAACAATGACAGTCGATACACACTTATAAGCAAGTTATAGGCGAAAGCTTCCGAAGTTGAAAACATGTAATAGCCAATTTAAAAGTGTCGTTGTTGTTTTCTAGCCCAGTCTCAAGGCTTTATTATTCTGCACTGCTCGGCCTCAATCTCGACCCCAGTGCATGCGCAGAAGAGCTCTGGGGTCGAGACTGGCGCGGCCTACGGTGTAGCATGAAAATTTTGCGGGTTCTAATTTTTGCGAATTTTGCGGATTGACCTCGATCCGCAAAAATTAGTTCCCACAGAAAAAAAACACCCGCAAAATAAAACGCCGCAAAAATTAACTCCCTTCTGTCAAATTAAAAACTCCGCTTTTAATGGACTTGTTGTGTATGGTAGGGATAGGCTTTTGTTTTGTTTTGCTGTTGTTCAGGCCCCTTTGAGCGATATTACAGTGATCACCGTATTATTCTCCATTAAATATGTAAGTAGAGTGAACTTTGACGTACGTACCGTAAAATAAAAGTTGAAAATACCATATTAAGGTTTCTTCCACTTAAATATTCTGCTATTTGAACAGAGAATCGCAAAAATTAGTTCCCACCAGAAATTTCAGTCATCTCGAACCGCAAAAATTTGTTCCCGCAAACCACAAAAATTTTCATGCTACACGGTATGCTTTTTGGGTCACGTGGTCCGAGCGAGTTTATTTCGGCTACGCCGAATGCATTGACTGAGAAGGGCTCGGGAGACTATTTCCCACACCGCTTCTTATATTTGATGTGTAAAGAAACCACACAGTTTGGTATCATTTGTTATTCTTACATAACTGCATGAAAACAAAATACTCACAACCAACCAAAGTGATGCCATTTTCCCATACAGTCCTTTCTCTTCAACTTAACGTTGAGCTTGAAATTTACTCCTGAGGGAGCCTTTGCCATGAACATACCACTGAATTTTATTTTTTCCCCTTTGCAGAGAACTAAAGGGTCTGGAGAGAGATTAATCGTCCCTACTTGCACTGGAGAGATTCTATCTGTATCGGTACAAGCAAAACCGAAGACTAATCAACATCATTTTGGAAAGTCATGTAAGAAGTACCTGCTTGTAGTACCCGTCAAACTGTGAGGAAACCGTTCGCCTTACCGCAGTTTTTCCAAGAGATGGCATCAACTACAAAAGCCAGGCTGACGAGAACAAAGATTTGCCTGAAAACCATGGAGTAGTTAATAGGGTCAGTGTTCCCTTTACGTTAGCCTAATTACTAAACCTTTATCCAGCTATTAATATATTCATAATTGCATTGTTAGCGCGCAGTCATGATTAAATGCCAGATAAAACATGATCGATGCACTCCTCCTTAATAACTAAATAAAAATGTACCAGAGTCATGAATCGCAGATTTTTTTATGTGTTAATACAGACATAGCCTCTTTAAACTCTTCGCTTCAAAATCAACTGGTAATTAAAAAGCCGTTTTTCCTTCTTTCTTGACAAAGTTTAAATGGTACTTGACTTTTCAGCGTTTGACCATGGTGAGCTTTTGTCTTTTCCACGGTCCGTTAACCAGTTTCAGTGTCCGAACTACTCTGCAGGCAGTTGTTTCTCCAGGCTGGACGCTACCCTACGTAGGTCAGGAAAAACCACTTTATTGAAACCTTTTCCGCAAAAGTGAAGCCTAAAGCAAATGCCCAGCGAAAAAAGCGAAAGAAAATGGGAGGAGGGAAAGCGCCCAAGGGGGAGGGGGGCGGGGAGGGAGGGGCTGTTCGGGGATGATCGAATGGGGGCAAAAATCAAAACCCCCAAAAGTCCCTGGAACAAAAATTAACCCTAAACAAATCCCATGTCGAATTACCAAGCCTTAAAAATTTTCATAAAGTGTGAAGTGATATAACACGACTTTTCTGCATCTTGTAGTCATTCTAATAACACTTGAGACTCCCAAGCACAGGTTAATTAAGTTTAGCCTTCGAGAGCATCTGGTTTTTTCGGCTCTACTTCACCCGTCTAGCATGTAATGTTTGGTTGTACTTACTCGTAGAACTACGCGGCCGGGATACGCGGCGGGCACTACCCTTGCCAGCGTGGTAGGTGTTCGAACGGGGGAAGGCAATGGGGATTCTGGGGGAATGCGCGAGGAGAGAAGAACTGGCTTGTCACGCAGGCTAGCACTACCACGAATATTCAGATTATTTTGAATACCCCCCACAAAAATCCCCTCCTAAAATAAGCTACTCGAAAAATAGCCTGAAATTCATCCGATTGCTTCGAGTCGCTTTCTCCTCTCAACTGAGGAAGTAATAACGACTCGAAGTAATCGGATGAAATTCAGGCTACTCAAAAAATTACTTGCCAAATTTTCCTACCTAAAAAAAATCCCGGAATCTAAAATTTCAAACCCCCAAAGATCCTATTTCTAATATTTGCGTTCTGCGTATGCTCGAACTTAGCCCGGTTCCACTGCTCCGAGATAGTCGAGGCTACTTCGAACTTCGGTAGCAGATATACTCAACTTTACACTTCAACAATCCATTAAGGTCCTTATTTTAGTCCAATGGCTCGATGCTTCTATCTCTGTAGCCTGCATAACAGGCGCTTTATGGACCAAGTGAGGTGTTTGCCCCGCTTGGATAACAAAGGCTGCGATGCACCCAGTGATGTCATCAAGTGATTTCAGTCCCCCAGTGATCCCCAGTGTTCCTTCCCCCCCACCACCCCTGCGTCAGGTGCTAATCAGGTGACGATGTTTCGTCGTTTCCTATCATTCTTTCTCGCCAAGATGGCGGCCTGCAAGTTCTACATCGTCATTATCAACGTTGTTGCTTTGCTTTTTGGTGCAAAATCGCTCAACAATGGACTTGCAAGGACTCCACCAAGTAAGATTTCATAACTCTTAGCATTACGAAGTTCTATACTAGATCTACTCTGCACTTGAAATTTCTCGCAGCTCCCAAAGTTTCATATGCAAGAAAAACAAAATTAGTTACAAGGATAAAGTTTTTGTTTAGATAAAACTAAATCCTTTTGGTGCTAGCATAAGTTTTTGCAACACATTTGAATTTTTATATCAACGATTGATGCAAATTCATATTAGCTAACTACAGAATACCCTGCCAATTTAAAGCAACCCTAAAAATATACCTACCAACTTTTTCTGAGTCAAATGCAAATGCTTGATGAGGTTTTGGTCACACTAAAGGATTTCATCCACAGACTCAAAAGTTGGAGCTTTACTTGCAAATTAAACAAATACAGTCAACTGGTCTCAACTCCTTCTTAATGGACACCTCTATAATATTGGATGGACACCTTGCGAAAATGAACACCTAGAGTTTTTCCCTTCTTTCTTTTCCTTGTTTCATTAACCCTCAAATCCTGTTGAAGTTCCGAAAGTTTTTTGCATGTTCATTTGCAATTTATTGCTTAAATTGCAACTACCACTGTGACGATCACATCTTCATATTTTATATTTTTATTTCCTTAGTTCACATTATCTTCATTATAGTAGACTCTTTATTAGACGGAGACAGACTTCCAGCCCCAGAGGTGTCCATCTTGGGGATCCATAATTAGCGTCATCTGAAAATATTGCTGAAGATGTCACGGTTTTATTTTGCAACTTTTGTGACTGACATCACTTGGTGTATTGTACGGGGTCGTAACATGGTATATGGGCTCAGGGCTCAAAGCCCAAAATATGACCGGGATCAGGGCTCAGAGGAAAGGGCTCAGGGCTCAGAAGAATGGGATCAGGGATCACAAGGCTTTTGAGCCCGAATCAGGGATCAGATTTATTACACGGTCTAAAAATCTCTTATCACAAAATTTTTCCGCTTAATAAGGTTTGTGTCCGTAGAATTTGTCATGAATCAGACCAACCCCAGTCTTTAAAGTTTAGAAAATTGCTTAGCGTGTATACGTTGCAGGTCAAAATTAAATTCAAGCTAAATTTTTTTAACTGAGGTTGATTCTTAATTTCCTTTGCCTCCTAGTCCTAATTATTCATGAATTAGTGCTAGGAAACTAAGGAAATTGAGAATCAACCTACAATCTGCGTCGCAAATCGTTGAAACAGAAACCATTTATCTTGAATTTTTTTGAAAATGTATTGCATTCACTCTTCTCACCTTAGTTCTCACTCAAGTGTGCCCTTCTCCTTCACCAATATTTCAAGAGCCACATGTATTTTGGACCACTGAGATGACTGTAATACCCAAATCAACATTGGGGAAGGGGAAAATCACCCAAGTGTTTCAAGATTTGTGACGAGTATCGTAGGTTAAAAAATCTTAATCTGAATTTAACTTCGACCGAATATAAACATGATTTACAGTTAAAGCACTGGGCTCAAGTGCTAAAATGCATTACTTTTTCCCCTTTCTTTCAGTGGGATGGATGGCCTGGGTAAAGTTCCGTTGCTATATAAGGTAATGTTAATGGCTGGTTAGATAACTCATTGGGTTATTACGTCACCTTCGTTGAATAAAGAATATTGTATTGTATTGTATTGTTAGCAGTAGTGGTTAACTATAACATTAATTTAGAACGTTATTATTCCTGATCATCATAAACCTCTTTAGCTTAGCTTTCCCAATATAGTCAACTTGGTTTGTTGCGGAACTGTAGGGACCTTGGGCTGGCGTCGTCATTAGCAAGGGTCCGTAATAGCGAGAGATTATTTCAGTCAAATGTCTGTACAGCCTAACCTCTCCTTGCGCACACCTCTGTAATGTGGACACCTCTCTCTTTCGGACAGTTCATTTGATCCCAGAAATGCCAAAAATCACACATTCCCTTCCTCTATAATACAGACACCTCTGTAAAGCGGACACTTGGATCTGTCCCTTTGGTGTCCATATTAAAGAAGTTTGACTTTAATTTGCCTTTCCGGGGATTTGACTGCTCTCTGTATTATCAGGGTGTCCGTTATAGCGGGGTGTCTGCAAGGTCAAAGTTTGCTGTATGGGCAATCTGATTGCTATAAGGGAATTTTCTCTTTAATTGTTGATCTTTCTATAGCGAATGCTTACATGCATTCACACATGAGAATAATATGAAATTTGAAATGTAAGGCTCTTTAGATTGCAGAAGCTCAACCCCAACTGACAATAATATTTTCATATCATTTTCTATTATTTACTTGCAGAACCATGTTATAGATATTAAATATATAGATATGGCTGAATGATTTCTATGTGCAATTTTTAATTTGGTACCTTTTTACTTGTATGTTATTTTTATTTTAGTTTTCTACCTGTTACATGTTAGTACATATCGGTTAAACTAACTTGTTTTTTTCTTTTTTTAGTGAAGACCTTGTAAAAACAATGGCAGATCACATTGTTTCTGCTGGTTACAAAGATGTTGGTTATGAGTATGTTTCCATTGATGTAAGTAAAGTAATCCACTGTGATGTACATGTTTTTTGTCACAGTTTTATTCCCTTTAAGTGACATAAAGTTCTGAAAGTGCCACTTTCAATGGGGCAGTACTTTTCAAAAATCCGACACTAACTTTAATCTACATAATTCTGACTTTATGATTCCTAGATTCAACACAATAACTTTTGGTAAACATTGTATAAAATATCTTGGTCTGTATCCACAGCATAAATTACCAATAGCCTTAAGAACGTTAACTGAAATTGATAAATGTAAAAAGAAATTAGGAAAAGTGATTTGGCTGTTAACTTGACGGAAAACAAATGTGGGTGGGAATGCACCAAGGAAGCTCTTAAATCTTTCTTGCTTTGTATATATAAAATATTTGATTTAACTGTTATTATTTTAGTTTATTGCTCTACCTATATATTGTTTATTTCATAGCATCCCCAATTAGCTTCGTAGCTAAAGTACCTGACACTTAAATAAAGTTTATTACCATTATTATTATTATTGTTCACCAAAGTAGATAACACTGTTGTTTCAAACACTTGAAAGTTCTGATTCTATTAGTTAGATCCTTGTACATGTTTCCACATGGTTAGTTAAATCACTATAAATAAAATGAAAACTGCCTCAGCCTGCATTGCTGGTATGACCTTGGTCTACTCCACTGTTGTTGCAATTCAATAGAAGCACTATAAAATGCAATTTATTATGTACCTAAGTTCTCACACATAACACCAGCTCTATACAAACTTCGTTGGCTTCCTATCACCTGTCGTGTCAAGTTTAAGATTCTAATATTTTTACTTTCAAATCAATTTACAGACTGACGCCATCCTTTTTTAGCGATCAGTTTGATACAGCTCTGTGGAATAGCCTACCGGCTGACCTGCACAATATCATGACACTTAGTGTTCTTAAAGACAAACTTAAGACATTTTTGTAACATATATATTAATTATTATTTTGTGAAGCGCTATTGATCAGCATACATGTAAAAAGCACTATAAATGAACAAGTTTTTAAATTGTGATTATTATTATTATTGTTGTTGTTGTTGTTGTTGTTGTTGTTGTTGTTGTTGATGACATCAAAGCTGCTACTATTATTTTAGGATTGTTGGATGGCACACAATCGCACAGCATGGGGAGAACTACAACCAAATCCAACAGCTTTTCCTAATGGGATGAAGGCTGTTGCTGACTACGTGAGTATCCAGACGAGGTTTATAATAAAGAGTGTTAGCAACAACAACGGCAATGGGAATGACTGACATATCAAAAAAGCAATAGTTTTAAGAAGCAAAACAACAACCCTGCAAGTGCAGCACACTTTTTTGTACATTTCTTTGCCATCAATGCACGGCTACATATTTTTCTTTTTTTCTTTCCTCAAAACTCACATTGGGTCCTCAAGAATTTTATACCAAAACCATCCTAAGGAAATGTTGTTGGTTTCACATCCCAACTGTATGTTTCATTGGTCAAAAGTGTGTTAAATTTGTCACACTTCAAGAGTGGATGTAAATATTATTGTTTTCTTTTTTTGAAAAAATGTTTGAATGTATAATGGTAATGATATATAATAAAATTTATTTGTTCCATTTATCCAGGTCCATTCCAAAGGCCTTAAGCTAGGAATTTATGCAGGTGTGTTTGAGTAGTGTACAATAATAAAACAGCTGGGTCTGGAAGGGAGCAGGGGGTGCCTGATCCAGCACTCCCACTCCTTTTTCATGAAAATCCCGCTTCCCCCTGTTTTTTTCGTTGCTTTCCCAAATTCCGTTTTTAGTTTCCTTAATCTGTGTTAAGTTAAAAAATTTATTGCTGCAGAAGCTTATAAAATTTAATATAACATGTACATGTAGGTTGACCCTTTCAATGATATTTTGAATTTATGCAAGTTTTAAGGCCATTGCAAAAAAGAACTAATTTCTGAACATGTGGAGCAAGTGCAAGAAAGAACAACACCAAAACTATCACTGTCTGATTCAAGGTAGCAGAGCTGAGAGACATTTAAAAAAAAAACAGGTCGTTAAACTTTATGCTAGCGGTAGGTGCGCTTTCCTGGTGTTCAGTTTAACCATGCCAGTGGGTCTTCTGTCTGCTCGTCTGTTGATTACTTGACAGTTTGGATAATTTGCCTTGATAGGAGATACCACTGTATGCTCCCCTGGTTGATTCACATTAGCTGCTAGAACATATGATTTCCGGAATTTCCAACAGACAGGCAGGAAAATCCCGCATCCCGTGCCTAAATTCTTGTGAATCCTGCTTCCCGGGTAGCTGCAGTCAAATCCCCAGTGAACTCCATTTCCCTCAAGATATTTTCCCAAATCCCACTTCCTGCACTGTATTTTGTTCAAATCCCAAATCCCAAATATACATGTACCCTTCCAGGCCCCGAATAAAATAATGTTATGTGATTTTAATGGGTTTTTTAATTACCTGACTCATTTTCATGCGGTATCAATTATTATTTAATATACATGTGTATGCCTATACTGTGTCTTGGTTGGTATTTATGTATATGCTACTGGTCAAGATTAAATTCAAGTGAAAGTTTTTTTTAACCTCAGAGGTTGATTCTCTATTTGTGTTGTCTCTTATTCATGAATTAGTGCTAGAAGACTGACAAAGAGAATTGAGAATCAAGCTACTGTAGATTAAAAAAAATTAACCTGAAGAGTATAATAATATTTTGACCTGTAACATATACATTAAGTATAGAATTTAATGTTTATAAATCTTGGCAATACTGTTTGCATATTTATTCTTGTTCATCCCTTAGATTCCGGACTTAAGTTATTATATAGTTTCAATTTTTTGATAGCATAATAGTCAAAACCAGGAAATAAACTGATGGATTTGAAAGGCTAACAAGTTTGTTATGACTTGCTGTATGTGAAGTTAAGCTCAACAATCATTGGGGTTACTTTATTCAGATATTGGAATTAGAACATGCGCAGGATTTCCAGGAACTGCAGGTCACTTTCAGCAGGACATGGATGTGAGTTGCTAGTTGTATTGATTTTTTTCTAACTTGACTTCTTTTTATAGAGCATTTTCACAATGGCATCATGGTTGCTATATTGGTGCTCCAAAACAATGAAATGACAGCCATGTTGGCTTACAAAGCCATTCCTTTGGGATAGTTGAACTCTTTTTTTTATGTGAAAGTACTGGATGGATGCCAAGTTTTGTTTGTTTTCATGTGCCGTATAATTAGTCCTTGAATCTAAACCATAATATTCAGGCATGTCACTAAGGAATAGCTAAGCAGGCTTCTTCATTAGACAAGCCTGCTTTTTTACTCATTTTATGCATTCTGCTGTATTTATTAACAGCTTTAATTTTACTGATCATTGTTCATTCAATCAGACATTTGCCAGCTGGGGTGTGGATTATCTTAAACTAGATGGATGCAATTCAGTTGAGGCACAATTTGGTACACTTTATCCAGAAGTGACTGTGGCTTTAAACAAGACTGGTCGTCCTATCGTATTTTCTTGTAATTGGCCAGCAGACCAGACTTTTAAGCATATAAAGGTATTGTTCACAAATTAAAAAGACAAATGAAAAGGTAACATTATTATTAAGGTGAATTTATTATATAAGCTGTTATATTTGAAATGATGAGATTACATTCATGAAATGTAATTCAATCCTTTTACTTTTAATAGTTGGTAAAGAATAGCACCATTTACAGACAAAACATCAAATAGACTGGGATTCTGCGACATGTATAACATATTCTACAGACTACTATCAATGTCTTACTTTAGAAAGCTGGTTTACTAACTTAGAGCAAACGACTGATTACGAGTCTTCATAGCCAATAACATCAGGGCTTCACTGACAGACGACCAATAACATTGCAACGTAATTGACCAATCAGATAAATAACCAGAGTATAATACCATCAACTGACGTGATACAACTCACTTTGACTCTGAAGATGACTACCGCACAGGTTGTCAAAATGTCCGTCACTGTCAACAACAACAGTCCTATTCAGGACTATGTTCACCCAGATGATCAAACTCAACCTTCTTTTGAAATGACCCCTGGGTTCAAACCTTTCACAATAATATTCCTCTATTTGTAGAATCCTAAGAAATAAATAGTGCCATACAATCATTTTTCCAAAGAAGTTTCATTGGAGTGGTAACACCGTAGGATTTTGTCCAGACTCAAAAGTTAGAACTACATACATAGTACCGATTTAAATTGTGAAAGTACTGCTGAAGACGTTTCATTTGAATGGTAACACCATAGGATTTCCTCCACAGAGATTTTAAGGTTAGAGCTTGACAATCTTGCAATAATGCTGTACAGGAGTGAAATAGAATAAGGATTTGTGTTCTATGTTACCAGTACGATGCCTGAATTACTATTGAGATATGAATCCACTAATTTAACTGACTGTCTGGACACTGGGTAAGCCATAGACTCATGTGTTCCCTTGAAAGGAGTGAGACTGTGTGAAAGATAATTGTGGTAGTGAGTTTTTTGTTCCAGGCCTTTCTTGGAAGTCACTGAGCATGGAAGCTTTTTGTTGTACTAAAATAGTTTCTGTTTTTATCAAACAGCCAAATTATATGCAGGTTGCTGAAAACTGTAACTTATGGCGCTCCTGGTGGGATATGGATGTGAGTACCATGCTACTGGTCTTTTCGCTACAAGTCATTTCACAGCAGGGTCTTTTTTGCATCAACTTGTCTTTAAAGCATGACAACTCTTACGGTGAAACCAAAAATGCTTTGCAGCAAATCAACTTCATGATGCAGTGAAAAATAAATGACCAGACAAATTAACACTCTAGAAGAAAATTATAATTAAATGTTTCACAGAGAAATTTGGAAAAGGAAGAGGATTGAGAAGTGAAATTTCTGTTCACTTTTCAAAAAGGTTTTGTTCAGCTGTTTATCTCTTTTTAAAGAGATGACAAAGAGGATCAATGTGAATTAAATGCGAAAAAAATTCTGTGAAAATAGTATAGCCTGTTAAAGCAAAGCCCCGGCGGGGGGGGGGGCTACTCCCACATACATACATTCTCTTAAATGAAATCCAAACAATGTTCTCACAACTTGCAAGGCAATCAGCAAGGGTCTTGCCAGTGGATTTGTGTACTGATCATGTGCATTACGTCGAAAATCATAGATCAACAGTTTTGAGAAGGAACAAAAACATGGCTGTCCAAGGCGGAACTGTTTCGTTTATTCAATTTTTTAATCATTTTCTCTGCTGGGTGGCTTCTTGATCTATCAAAATATTCACTGTGAGAAAAATACTGCTATTATCTGCTGATCACCATGCAGGGTGATCATTTTGCAAGTTGTGAGAACATTGTTTCTCGGTCCCAAACCTTGTGTCCTCCACCCCCTGTGAACACGTATTTGTATAATCATTCTGGACGTAATAAGGACTTATAAGTTTGTTTACATCAAAGACAATGTAAAGTATTTGATAAAATGCTTTTGTGAGCTTGTGAAACAAAAGTGAGAAAAGGTGTCTTGCTTTGTAGGCTTAAAACTGTTACTACTTTTTACTAGCTATCATTTTTGTGTTTTGTTTACGTTCTGTAGACAAACTTTGGAAGAGTTAAGTACATAATAGACTGGATGGGTCAAAACCAAGATGATATCATCCCAGCCGTTGGGTGTGGAAAGTGGAATGACCCCGATCAGGTACTGAGAAGAGCACTGTTGATATGTGTAAATTGGCCTTTACCAACAAACCTGTTTAACCAAGTCACCCCATGTAAGGAAATCCAAAACAGCATTGGATTTTGGATTTAATGCTGTGTATTCTGGATTCCAGGTACTGGATTCCAGATTCTTGGTCAGTGGGACTTGGATTTCTGGTTCAATTTTTCGTGGTATTCTTTAAGCTGTTTTCCGGATTCCAATGCCCAGGATTCTGGATTCCACAAGGAAAAATTTACTGAATTCCAGAATCCAGAATCCGGACTCCCTTCCATGTGGCAAAACCACGTGAAAGAAAAACACTTGCTATTAGGAAGTGCTTTGTGTTCAACTCAATGTTACGTTTGCAGCAGTCATTATTCTTATCCCATATTTAATTAATTAATTTTTTTATTCGGTTCACAGCTTGTTGTTGGGGATCAAGGCTTGACAGTTGATGAGTCCAAGGTTCAGTTTGCTATCTGGGCCATTATGGCTGCGGTAAGCTCACGAGTTTTCAGTTTACAGAAGCAATAGCGCTTATTCTTAAAATTCTCTTGAATTGTGGGATTTTGCTAATTTTACCCTCTTTTTTTGTTATTTTGTTTGTTTATAGCCTCTACAAATGTCCAATGACCTCCGCGATTTCCCAGACTGGGCTAGAGAAATATTACAAAACCGGTAAGGTCTTTTCCTTGCTGTTTTTGAACAGGGAAATTCCCCCGGGACGCATTTATTTGAAGGAAAGTTGTCGCCCCGGGTAGAAAGGTCACCCGCCCACCCGAGCTACCAATGCGCCAACTTTTCATACATTTCCTCACACAACGTGGCAAACCGTTTACACATAAGAAACAAAAAGTTGTTTTGGCTAGAACTCCATATAAACACGTGCCTCAACCAGCCAGGGCAATTGGTCTAGGCGAGATAATCAGAGCGTGCGCGAGCTCTGTTGTAGACAGTCAGAGCATGCGCTTTCGCCGTTGGCTCGGGTAAAGGGGTGAACTGTTTTCTCATAGAAACACTCAGTAAAGTTGACTTGGCTTTGATGGTGACTCTTCTCCCCGGGCAGGACAGGTTTTCTCCATTTAAACGGAGCCTTAGTAGAGAACAAATGAACAAAACACAAGAAATGTATATATCATACCTGAAACTCAATGTGATTTCTTTTAATAATAACTTATTCCCCAATCCTTGGAGCCAAGAATGAATTTCAATGGTAACCGGTCATTTCGCCCCCTAGTCAGTCATTTCGCTTTGGTTACTTAGCCCCCTATTTTTGAGTCAGTTAGT